GCATGTAATTAATTTGACCATAATACTTTCACACAGATAGCCTTTAACTCCGACTCTGTTTTGTATATGAAGCTAATGGCTGCTAAATGCAGCTTCCCATTCAGTAAATATCTAAAGGGCTAGTCCGTCCAATTTTTTTTTTTTTTTTTTTCCCAACTTTTATTTTGCTTTGTTTTAAANGTGAGAAACAAATAATACCGGACATTGGTCACTTGCGGCTGGCAGAAAATACTACAGTATATAGCCTGAAACAAACGAGCGTGTCTCCCTGCAGCCTGCATAGTTCTCTCTGTCTCTCTGTTGTTTTTCTACACTCGTCCAAAGCGGCATGTAATTAATTTGATCATGATACCTTCACACAGATAGCCTTTAACTCTGACTTTGTTTTGTATATGAAGCTAATGGCTGCTAAATGCAGCTTCCTATTCAGCAAATATCTAAAGGGCTAGTCCGTCCAGTTTTATTCATTTATTATTATTTTTTTTTTTTACCAACCTTTAATCTGCTCTGGTTTAAAAAGACGCTCAAACCGCGACTAGAACATCCTGTCAGTCATTCAAACCTTTTAGTTCAAGTTTTTCCTTTCTGAATAGCATTAGCATACCAATTATAATCCGGTCTGTCATGAACAAGCATGCAAAAAAAGGTTATCCAAAATATAAAAATGTATCTATTTCTACCAGGTAGGAAATGTTTGAAAAAAGAGGATTTGGGAAAGAAAGCAGGTTATCATTCTGACTTTAATCTAAAAAAATGTCTTGCACATCAGTTGGTGTTAGAATAACGTTACAGGCCCTTTATCTTCATATCCTCTTCTGTGGTTTAACACACAATATTTTTTCATATTTTTATGAGTATTACTGTCCAATTAGAAATGAAAACCTTTGTCCCCTTCATGAGACTATTTACTTATAACTTATTAAACTCAACTGACTAAACATAATGAACAACTTTTGAGTTGATTATTTCCATTATTTCTTATCTCTGGATTTGTAAACAAGAAATATTAACAGAATTATTTCATATTTAATTTGTTTCAATCTATATGTAGCCAGAGCTTTAAACTCAAATCTTACAAAATAAACAAAATGTTTTCATAAAAATGTATTTATTACAATAACATACAAGCAGATATTCAGCCAATGTTTGGGGAATCATGAAAAAATATTCCTATAATTTATAAAAGATGAGGAGACAGTGAGGAAGACGATGTCAGGAGGAAGAAGAGGATCACTGGGAGATTCTGGGAAGCTGCATCCAAACCTGGAGCTGAAACCTCTCCTCCTAAGAGCCGCCTGTATGAAAAAAATAAAAATTATTTTAAAAAAAGTTAACACTCCACATAAGAAGCCAATCGAAGGGAAGAATATATTTTACACACACAAGTAATATGAATTTACAAACTACAAAAAGATCAGAGGAAGGGAATATTAGTAACTGGTATTGGATGAAGTCAATGTTTAGAAGATACCAACATCTTCAGAAGTATCGAACTCTCCAGAGAGGAATATTATATTTTTGATACACCTATCAAACAGTATATATGCAAACACATTAAACTCTTCATGTCACACTTTGAGACGCTATGATCAGATATCAAGCAGCAGAATACGACAAGGTGACTTGCCCAGACCGCGGTTAGCGGGGTAAACACCTCCACCTGCCCGCTGAGCCTGGAGCCGCCTGGCCCCGTTAGCGGAGCTACGCTGCTCCGAAAACTCCGGAGTATATTTCAAACTGCACATAACTAAGTGCGTAAATGAAGCTATAAGGGCTACTTTCTAGCCTAAAAACATCTTAAACAACTTTTTGCGACAAATTAATAGTGTACTTACCTCTGTTTGTCGCTGCTGGAGGCGCAGTGCAATGGAAGCCATCTTACTGGTCCAGAGATGAGACAGGTATGGCTGCGGTGGAAAGCCACGCCCCCGTGCTCTGGCCTTTCAAAATAAAAAACTTAACTAAAAACTCAGGCTAACCATTTTTCTCGGTGACCAGATGTCCGGTATTACTTGTTTCTCACAGGAGCATTACTTGCGGCTGGCAGAAAATACTACAGTATATAGCCTGAAATTAACAAGCTTGTCTCCCTGCAGCCTGCATAATGTGTGTGATACGGCCCCTGTGTAAGCCGGACAGAGATAACTTCCGGGACAGACCGCTTGTCAAAAATGAAATAATGAAAATCGAAATTGACAGCTC